GTGTGCTTGATAGAGTTAAGCTGCCCTCAAATGACCATTGCCAAAATGGCTCTGCGTTGTCGTTGTTTTCCTGTAGAGAGCGTAGTGCCGTCCCACCAGGATACCCTCAACATAGCACACCTCTCAAAATGGTTGCAGAGAGCTGTGCTTAAATTATTTCAACTTGATTGTGGCTCACCAAAGGACACACAACCAAGTGAATAACAGCTATATGAAGTGTTGCAGTTAACAGGGGAGGTCACCTATAAAATGAGAACTAACTGTTTCAAAACACAGCTTTGCGCCCTACCTCGTGCTGAGCCAATAGAAAATTGCGTATCATGAAGGCAGCTTTAGGCTTTCAATATTTCTTAAGCTCCAGTTCTTTCATTAACCTGATAACCTTCCTCCAAAACAATATCAATAAGTCACATGTTCTTACACATAAATCTTTCTTTCCTATTTGTGATGGCCATTTTACAAGCTTCTTGCGAGGGTCCTGAGGTTAAGTGTGGCGAAGATTTCAAATTCACACTTTGACACATATTGGTGTATTGGTGTCTGGTTGTAAGTGTTTGATTTTGGCCAATTGGGTCAGGCCTTTGATTGATCCTTGCTTACAGGTCAGGTAGTTCAACACATATAGACTTTACCTCTACCATATGACCTCACCGTAGCCTCCACTTTGTCCTAGGTGACCTGGAAAAACCTTGTATTGACCAAACGGTAATGATAAATGGAAAAGGGCCTAATGGAAAGGCCTCAGGCTCAATGAGGAAAGATTTGGCTAGCTTTAGTGTTCAACCCCAGGGTTTCTATGTGTGACTTTAAAGCTCCCATGTCATGCTTTTCCGGTTATTACCCGTCCCCTTGTGTGTTATGAAGGTTTTTCTGCATGTAAACGGTGTGCAGAGTCAAAACCCTTAAAGTACACCCTGTAGCGAGTAAAACTCTAACACAGAAAATACCTCCCCAAAACGCCTCGTTGGTGAAACGTCATCATCCATTTGATTCTTCCGGGTACGTGCTTACGAAAGCACGTACCAAAATGGGCCAATCCGTGGAGCCGTTACGTTACGTCCGCGGAGCCGTTACGTTAAGCCCCCGCTGATTGGTCCAAATTGACCAATCCACACACACACTCAGTGCAGGCAGCTCTGCTGATTTCTGCTCCCTGCTGCAGGCTGACAGTTGGGATCGCGGCGAAATTCTTTCTGCAGACCCATTCTCACAGCGTTTATCAACCTTTAAACCTTTTTCTTACTCAATATCAAGCCACACTTATTGTTTTTATTTCGGCTGTGACTTTGTGTGTGTTCAGGTTGAGTTTTGCTGTGTTTGGCTATGTATCGCTAAACAAGGAAATCACACCTCCACGGAGCTCAGCGCGATTCACAACTTACCGACCAATCAGAGCACACTGGGCTCACAGGGAGGCGGGGGGGGGGGGGGCGCTGCAGCGAGCCGTTTAGTGGAGAAAGTGAATACTGCTGAATACACATACTTTACAGAGATGCTGTATGCGAAACCAATGTGAGTTTGGAAAATTGCACAGTATTTTTCTATTTTAGTATACCTCAACAATGGAATTATGATCAGTGGAAATGGCCATGACATGGGACCTTTAAATAAAGCTGGAATCAATTATTGTATAGTTGACAACCAGAGTTGGTAATGGACACTTTTGAACTTTTGCAAAAATGTGCTAATTTGGCCCTAAATTGGACTCATAAGAGTAGTGTAGTGAAGTTGGCTATTTATACAATTGAAGTGTCCTCAAGCTACATTAGCTATTGCATTGCCAATTGTGGTCGAACATGACCTTTTAAATCCCCTTAAAAAATAATAAAAACATCACAAAACCAACCACAATTTGATATTCAGTCTGTTTTTCAGTTCTCCCAGAACCCAAATGAAGACACAATGAAGTCTTATTACTCCTTCAGATGCATTTTTGAGTATTCAAGCTCACAGATGGATGAAGGCATTTCTACATGATGTTGTCAAAAACCCGATCAAAGTAAAATATGTGTTTAGATAGCTGAAACAAAAAATAACAGAACACAATCAGAAGTTACTAGCATCTTTATCTTTAAGTCTGTCAAAAGTTGTTGATGAGAAGTTGTTGAATGTCATATATAACAGCGTGACACACACCCATAGCATTTCTTGATTGCTTAAAGAAGCAATTTGCTTATTACTTAAAGGCTGAAAACACCCAGTGTGTAACAAACCTGGAAACATCTCTTACAATAAAGCAATAGCCTTTAGGGGGAAGAAAGGTTGTGGATAAGAGGAACAGATTCAGAGTTGGCACCATGTCACTTTTCATTTTTGCAGAAAATGGACACATCACTGCACTCACACTTGACACGGTGACACTCTCAGAAAATCTCGAGCTTCAGGTTTTCTTTTTGCTCTTACTCTCTGACATCCTGAAGGTTTTTAAAGTAGATCACACCTTTCAGTCCCCCTCATTATAATCATTATAAGCTTCTGTCTCTCACATTCTCAACGTCCATTTCTCTCTGTACTTTCTCTCTAAGCCGACTCACCTTCTGCGTCTCTCCCACCACTCTCTCCCTCTACGTGGTGTCATTTTGTTTGGCAGGTCTTTGAGTCCCCTGTCGAAGAGAACAGAAGCAAAGTCTTAATCTCTCATCGCCTGGCTGTCTTTCCACCTTGGCTTTTAAAGAAACTCAGCAGGGCTATGTTGAATTTCTCTACCCATTTTTCTTCCTGTCATTCTTTCAGATGTTCTTTTTTAAGATTCTCCCTCTGTGTTTATCCGGAAGCTATTAGTCTTGTTCTTCTCTCTTAAACAGGCAGATTTACTGGAACTGGATAACAATGTAGGGATACTTTTAAAATTAAATATATGTATTTTCAAGACATTCAACATAACAACACAATCAATAAAACAATATTTATATTGATTAAAACCCTTTTATTTATTTTTGACCTGTGCTTATCTCAGATTTTAATATAAAGGTGCCCTATTTGTTACATACTACACCGTAGTTGTGTATTCAATATGACAATAAACCTCTGAATCTTGAATCTATTATGCTTTTCTCTTTCCTCTAGTCTGTTTTATAGGATGTTGTGCGTCTAAATGGTCTGCAAAGGCTCAAATCCCAAAGTTACCTCCACAAACTGGCCCCCCCTTGCCTGAAATGCCTCCATTAGGCTCTTTTGTTTTCTTCTGTAACATAGTGACATCATTATGTAACACCCACTCTTCTATTTGCTACGATCACACATGTGACGTAATAGGCTAATGGGCGGGACATCTAATAGTGGTTGACCAATCACAACAGAGCCGGCCAGCTAACCAATCAGAGCAGACTGGGCTCTGGTTTCAGACAGAGGGTGAAAAGAGGTGCTGAATATGTCCTCTTAAGGATTGACTGGTTCAGACCAACCTTATTGAATCCTGGGACCCTGTTCCCCAAACTTGATCAATTAGTATTTCCCTGTTCAGATCATAGAACTCCAGACTTAATATGTTTTTATAAAAGGTTGATCCATTGGACAATACTTTGCAACAGAGCAGCTTGACAGAAAGGGACAAATACGATCTATTTGTCTTTAAATGAAGTCACTTATGGTAACACAACCAAAGAAAGGTTTTACACTTTAAAAACAGAAATGGGGAATGGATATTGAGGAAAAATAAAAAGATGCACCTTACATCAAGCAAGTTTCAAGGAAAAGCAAAGCAAAAGTCAGATGATTGTTCATTATAAGACTGAAGATAGAGATAGACGATGAGAAAGATGTGTGTTAGATGGAAACTGGGAATGTGACAGAACATGAATGTGTGAGAGACGTTGGTGCCGAATAGTGAGATATGGATGGGGAGGGGAAAAGAAAGGTGCGATATTGTATAACTCGATATTATTCTGCTGTGTGCCTGGAATGGAAAGGGCACACATAAAGTATGTTTATCTACCGTAAAACACACAAGGTTAAGTAAAGCTTGAAGTTAAGTTTCACTATTTAGCTTTTCCTGTTACATTTACAATTTAATTCGCTGAAGGCTTTGGTCCAAAGCCAAATCAAAACGAGGTACAATCCAAGCCACAGCAGATCAAGGAGAAGCCTTTGAGAATAAGTGCCTCAACACTCAGTTCCACCTGTCACCAGTGCCATAGGGCCTGCAGGTGCACAAAGTAACATTTAAGTGGCTAGAAAATTACTTTTTCTTTGAGGGAAAGATCAAGACGGAGTTAGAAAGACCAAGACCTTTTCTTTTGCTTCTCCAGTTCCTAATGTATCAAACACCCCGTGCAGAAACTTACAGTAAAAATCTGCTTTAATCATCAGGTCGGCCTTGAAAAAGAAAAAAAAAAAAGATGCAGTCTCTGGACTTCTCTGCTCTCGCTCCTACATAAGCTTTTAGTTTAAAATGTTGGCATCACTTTACACTTTAGAATTACATTTTCATAATGTCGGCGTTGTTTTTTTTTTGCTTTCTTTTGCAGAAGAGACAGCCAGTAAAATCGAATTGCAGTGACTCACATCTACAGTATGTGTATGTTTGTGCACTGCTACACACATTTTTATACAGTTTGTGTCTGTTTGCACGCATGTGTGCTTCGGTCTGTATAACTGTATGTTGCGTACTTGATGATGGTTCCAGTGTAGCAGGAAGCCTCTGGCTTTACTGGCAAAGTCCCCTTTCTTTACTCTTGGCCACTATAGACACACACACACACACACACACACACACACACACACACACACACACACACACACACACACACGCACGCACGCACACACACGCGCGCGCGCACACACACACACACACAGGTCTATTCAGGCTTTACGTGGAGACCCCTAGAACACTTTGTTGACACGCTCTGTGCTATGTTAGGCTAAATGCAGACTCAGTGTAATGCTCAATAGACAGGGATTCAGCTATATAACACAGTTGGAGCTAGCAGCGCGTCACACACACGCAGAGACAGACCCGAATGGAAGCCGCTGTTAATCAGTAGACACACACTGTCGCAGGAATGCTGGGCTCCTTGGACGTGCTCTATAGCGTCCTCATCCACAAGGTAACAGAAATGGTGTATAAAACAAAGACACACATTTACAACAGGATTTTATTTACTGTGGTTTCTTACAATCATAAAAAGAAAATTGTAGGTTGTCCTTTAGCCTAACCTTCTGTAACTGTTATAATACACCTGTTGCTAAATGCAAAATATGCCAATAGTTTTAACATGTTAAATGAAGTGCAGTTACGTGTCTAAGCATGTTTTCCTTCATGTCAACTGTGTCAATTACTGCAATATGCTTCCAAAGATAGGCATTTTGAAGTGGCTTTTCTTTATTCTGTTACTGTAATCATACTGCTGTTGATAACGGCAACATATAACTCAAGTTTAAAAAAAATTAAGTACATGAAGGTACATTTATGTCAGATTGAGCCCAGGGTTACTCCCAATCTGCTAGCCTCTGTTCGGATGTTGTCTTTGTGTGTTCATGTTGCCTTTGGTATTGCGTTGTACTGTGAAATATATGTGAATTGCAGTGGATAAAGTGTATATAAGTATCTTCTCTTTCAGTGTGAGTCAAGAGACTGTGAGTGGAGTTACATAGGAATATTTTAATAGATATCCTGTTGCTACACTCTGATTAAATGCTGTGCTCAAAATGATGAACAGAATAAATAAAATAAAACAAATAATCATCTACATTTTATGTTTTATTTCTTCTTTACTTGTAGCTGATGGCGGTGTATGAGGAGCAGGAAGCCCAGCAAAGGGGTGTGGCTAACACAAGGTTAGCGCAGAGCCCTGATGTCTACCAATCAGAGCTCTCCGTCTTCCAGCCAATCGCAGGGGGAGAGATTGAAGTGAATTCCTCCGTCCTCAAGTCCAGTGAGTCATTTTTTCTTTTTAAGGTCTGTATTTGGTATAGCCCCACTCTAATCTTGACATGCGGAATTTTCTTTTCTTTGCACATAGTATAGTATTAGGAGTGAGGCTTTGTCATTTGGTAACTCTTTCCGTTCTTTCTTTTAAAGTATTAAACCTGATTTAGTACTATGTGTTCTTTCCAAGGGTATTTGCAAAAGAATGTTATTTTACAAAGTTGTAAAAACAGGATATTTGTCACCCTTTGTACTCTCTGGTATATTAAACTGTATTTATCCGAGCCATAGAAATGTGCTGACATGTATTATACCTGCTCTCTAGAGAGCAATGAACTAACCATCAGTTATGTTCTGGCATTTGTCATTGCATCACACAACATTATCTATCAATAAAGAGATCAACACTCCATGAGTGTGTAGTATAAAAACAACACAAGTGTTCTTAATCCTCTCCTGACTTTCTCTTAAAACCATGCACCTTGAAAGTAGGTAAAGTTATGAAAGAAATCCCAACTCTGTTTCTTGGACTTTGTAATATCAAGGTTACAGTAACTGACACATGGTCTAAATGCTTTTTCAAAGGAAAAAGATATCTTGAGGGAATCTCTGTTCCAACCTTTTAGGTATAATCTGTAGGTCAGTGCATGAAGAGGGCAATGTCAAAAGTGATGTTAGACGAGAAACAGCTTCACTGGGACTGACTTTAGATGGAGGCTGACTGCTAGGCCGTGTTGGTAAAAGAACAGAAGTGAAGTCTCAAAACACCATATTGTTATAATCATTCAATTCAGAATGAAATTAATATATAATGAAGTACAGGTTTGACCACTTAAATTAGCATTTTAGCACTTCAGGGCTCCTTTGAGTTAAAGTCAACTGAAAAAACACCCCACTGTTGAACGTCTAAAGATTGAAATAAGAGGTTGCTAACAAATGAGACTACTAAACGTTATTTGGCCGAACACAAGTCCACCTTTAGCTTAGAGGGGTCGACGTGAAGTCATGCGACCAATGATGTAGTTCACTCCTAGCATTACATTAGCTATTTACATCTGGCAATTGCATTTGTGCTTCAAGCCGGAGTAAGAGATTATTTGTTATAATATTCCAAAATCCAATAGAAAAATCTAACTGCTTTTAGTCAAGGGAGCCCTTGCGATGCAAACTCTTGCATCTGCCTACACAAATATCACTGCTCCACTCTACTGGGTACAAAATATTCTTAAATATCCTTTGAGAGCTAAGAACCATGTTTTATTAGGAACGAGGCTACCTTTGAATTACAGTGCAGATAAAAGGTCCAGATGTGATGTCCAAGTTCTGCAGGCCAGTGATTGAAAACAAGAGCTCGAATGTTGGCACCACCGTCCCTGAGATGCAGAATGAGATGGGGATGAAAGAGAATCAGATGAAGAGAGGACAGGAAGTGTATGTGTAACGTCAGGCGGCGGCAGAACCAGCTGTGATGTCTGCGTCTGCTAACTGTTTACTATCTGAATTACCTTTCTCTACCTCTCTCTGGCTCCTCTTTCCCCTCATTTCTTTCTGTCTTATGTCAAGTCAAGTGCTTATGCAGTTGAGGTACTGTAGATGTTAGTGTGAGAGGGCTTAAAGCTGTCACAGTAACTTGTCCAAATCTAATTTTGCCTTAACATAACAAACCATGGCGGTGATGGATTACTTGTACCTACAGTTCTCCAAAACCTGCCGTGCGCTAATCACAGACTCCACTCCCTTTAGTTTTGAATTATAGACTCCATATATGCTTTGTTGCTCCATCCATCCAGATGACATTTAAACACAATCTGTCAAGGTTGTTTTCAAAATGTCATTCATATGGCAAATGAAGTGTGATAATGCTCATCCATCTCTTGTAGGTTGTATTCTATTAGCCAGTTTCATTATTTTCCACGCTTTTGATGGCATAGTAATTTCTTATTTAGCTTAAACGATGTTGAGCTCAAGGACTACCACGCTTATCAAAAACCATATCTTAAGTAACATTTGCCCTTTACTCCTTGCATGAGATCTAATTTCACATACTTTAGATATGACAACAACAATCGTGTATCTTGTAAAGATACTACTAGTTCTGACATAATTGACATTTCATCTTGCATGACCTTCCTGAGTGAAGCTGTATGATCCAGACACCGTTAAGACAGGAAGTTTAGTCTGTTTCACTATGGCCGCCTGTCAGCAGAGATTAGTTGTAATGTGTGACTGTCATGGCAGATTAGAGGTAAGGGAGATCTGGAGACTATCACTGTCAGAGTGGGAAGGTCAGACTGAGGCCTTGATCGCCGTCTCAACCACTTGTTTCTCTTTCACTGTCTCTACAAGTCTCTTTCTCCGTTTGCCTTACTAATTGTTTCTGCTTCTCACTGTCTTCCGCTCTCTGTCCCTTAACTTATTTTTTTTTATTTGTTAACAACTAGTTCACACAAAACTTCAATAAAGTAAGGCATCAATAACGACATAATCAGAAACCGAGTAGTATCTAACTATGATACATTGTCAGCAGCACAATGGGTAGAGAAGAATGCTGTATTGTTTCATGTGGTACACTTTACACAACTTGTGTAGCTGCTGTAATGGTTTTAGCTAAAAATGTTACCGTTAATAAAAGCAATGCATAAATGCCTATTGTCAAATACTTGGGGTTGGGCTAAATGGAGATAATCAAACACTCTATCGATACTTGGCAATATTGCAGCGTTGACTCTTGACGTTTAACAACGAAAACATGTTTTTTGATAAATAATCATCAGCACTGTGTATTTAATCGCTAATTAGGTAAAGAGAAATCATTCGACAGC